CAGAGAGAATATAGTAATAGTACTACTAAGTACGTTTTATGTAAAAAAATGCATAAGCAAGATAACATCGAAAACTATTCAGAATGAAATTATTGAAGCAAAATTAGAGGGGGGTTATTACCCCAGGAGGGTACCAGTCTATAACAAAGCAATCAACGGTGGCGCAGCCTGGCGGCGATCTGTCGCAGCCCAGAAAACAAGTCGGGTCAGCCCCCCGTCCCCCCTAAAAAACTCCTCGGAAAACATCAACTTATTTTTCAGTATTTTTTCTGCTTAAAAATCTATATTATTTTTTTTTAAATTGGAGAAAAAAAATTCCCGTGGGCCAGAAAAAAGGGCAACTCAAAATTTTTAGGGGGGGTGCGCACCCCCTGCACCCCCCCTGGATCCGCCCCTGATACATTACCACCCGAGTCTTTTAGATGTCTGAAATAAGAGCTTCAGATACTTATTGTCTTTATTGACGCTGTCTGTAGCATTGGTATGTAGGAAGCACTACGAACACCCAGTGTATGCTCTTTACTACATTCTAATTTCTACGCCTGGCCAAACTATCCTTTATATTTCTTCGCTTTACATTGATTCTAACAAAACTACCATTAGTAATTAGTATACTCACATCGCCTTTTCAGCATTTCTAGCCTGCAAACATAAAAACAAGTCATAACAATTGAATTAGGTGGGTTCAATCAATCATTCAATGTATTTGAAATAGCCCAAATATAGATGGGCCAACCACGATCTAATCATTAAGTGCATGATATAATAAACTGATAAAGAATGCGGATTATTATCATTATGATTCCTAGAATAGTAGAAAGATTGCAATGTGTAGTTCATTTAGCAATGATCATTCTATGTATAATTAATCATGTACTATGTAGTACTACTACTAGTAGTAGTAGTAGTGTGACGATGTGTGTCTGTGACCGACTTACCATTGTTTACAATTAATTTTCCTTGCTCTGACAAAATTTCGTATATCAAAGCTAATCAGATTTCATAGAACTAAAGTATTAGGTTAAAGGACAAAATTATTTGTCATAGCAATGTAAAATATAATCATACGCTGAAATTCATGAAAAACTCAACGTTGAATACAAAATTAACAAGGTTTCCCACGCTCAAAACACGTTTCCATTTGAGTACACAGCTAGCGCCCTCTCTCGGGTAAACCGCGATTGCGACATAATTTACCATAATCCTAAAAGAACCCTTCCCGGCATGCCGGCATTGCATTGCGTTCTATGAGGGTGCATGAGTTTGTAAGACTCGGGTGAACGCCTGCCTGAATCGTTGATCACGTTTCACGTTCATCGTGTAACATGAGCTGCAGTTGGGAAGCGAATTTCTCCTTACATTTACTACGAATCGAAGGCAGTTTTCGCGTTAATTATTCACGAGGAACTCTATTACCTTCTTGACGATAACTCGCCGTAGGAAAATTCTGGCGCGATGCCTAAACGAGGAAGCGAGAAGCAGAAGCAGAAAAGGTCTGGGAAAGGTTAGTATCACTTGTACAGACTACAGTGCATACCAACACACAGCTGCAGTGCTGGTCGCATACTCACTCATTGCTATTCGACCATCTGGTTGTTCAGATGGCGTATTCCATGTTTCACGCACCCTAGTCTGCGTTGGATGGCCTTGTTAAACATGTAATAGCAATGCTTCGTTACGTGTCGCAACTTCTAGCACGGGAGCAGTCGCTTAGGCAATTAGTATTCAATAATTCATTACTAGTAGTAGTCTAGTACTACATTTACATTAGGCCTACATTAAAACATAATCATGCAGTCATTCACAGAAATTTCACATGCTACTTCTGCTTAACGTATTTCTAATTTTGGAACTGCTTTCTTGTTAATTGTGTTAATGTGTTTCTTGCTATAAGCTGATAACTAACTCAGCTTCTAGATCTGTTTCTAGCCCCTCTGAAACCAATCTGACCGATTCATACAGTATTTCCCACATGCGACGTACCACAGGCACTAACATAACCCGACCAGGCTGTGTGACTAACGTCAATACACCGCCTGACATCCATCCATTGAAAAATCTTGTAGCTGTACAAAAACTACCGAACAATTACGTATATCTCAAATAAAATGATCATCTAAGCATTTCTGCCTTGTTTTGTATCAAATATAACCTTGCACCGTTAAGGTATCGCAGCGTTGTTATTAAAAACTAATTACTTCAGTTTGCTGTGCAACAGTACGCGGTAAATTCAAGAGCCAAAACCGCAATTTCACCTAAAGACCGCCCAATCCGCCATGTTAGCAATCGCGCATGGATTTTCGAAACCGCACGCGGAATAACCCGAAGCCGATCATAACATACGCATACGGTGGCTACTTGCGTTGGCGCGAGCGATAAAGAAGCATCAATATAGCTCGTAAATTCATATAGTAAAGTATTAAACAGTTGAAAGAACAGGAATCGTCATACTACAACAACTAATATTATCATTGCGAAGATATGTACTTGCGTTGTATTTGTCCTAACGCAGTGTGAAAACAGGTCCAATTTGCCGATTTGAGTTGCACTGAAGCATGGCAGACATGGCCGGCTGTCTGGTTGTTTTGATCCAATTCATCTCAGAAAAACGGCATACTCAATAAATATAGTAGCGGCCCAGTAGCGCCCAGTTACCGGCGAGCAAGCCAGAGGTTTTATAGATTCGTTGAGGCTATAACTGTGACGCTAAGCTGTGTCGATGGTGGATACCGAGGCCCAACTACCTGTGAGGAATTGTGGCGCCCGACCCAGAATCTGAACAGTATCTAACCGGGACCCTAGCATCCCGTTTCCTGGAGGCTAGCCCCTTAAACAGAGGTTATGTATATAATGAACGGCTCGTCGTGCTGCAAGGATAGAGAGGGGGCATGCTCAAGTTATAAACATCCTCCTATCGCTAATCACCGTCCTGGACATCATCTCTATTCCTTGAACCGTTTCATGATATAAGCCGTCTGACCACCATTCATTTTCGCAAATGTGCGACAACGTGCAAATGTGAAACAAGCTCTAATCCTTGTCCCTAAACCAGAAATAGCTGCTACGGTGTAGCCCCTTCGTCCTGCTACAGCTCCCAGTAGCGAGGAGAGACGGAGCGTACACTGTAGAGCTCTACACAGCATGCATCACACATGAGGCACGTACACACATAACAAGCACATGCCACACAAACACCAGCCACCCCATGCACGCACCAGTCGCAGGCGCGACACACCAAAAACAGTGACACATAACACACACAGAGCCGCACACATGCATGCACACACATGTACACAGCACACCACATGCATGCACACACATACACACAACACTGTCACACACACACCCCCGGCGCGCCGCATGCACACACATACACACGCACACACACACACACACGGAGAGAGGTGCAGGTTCACACACATCACAACACACACACAACACCACAAACAGTTTACACACACACACCTACGCACACACGCATTGCACACACTGCAAGCCACACAGCTGCGAACGTCCACACACATTCATGCAGCACACATATCAGCACTATGTTGTCCATGCGTTGTAATTTCCGTAAATCGCTTCATTGCGTTGGACCCAAGTAAATCCGATGATCGGTTACAATCGTTAACTCGGGGTGTTGAATGCCTGCGGGGCTAAACGTCGTGTGCATACGTGTGTGCTGTTTACTGTTTGTTTTGCAACTGTTTACTAGCTGTGTGTATAACACATGTATGTTAATAAAGGGATAATCTTGTATAGTAGCTAAACATACATTTATAGTTTGGACTTTAATTTCGATGAATCGATTATGGATTGGATAACCCAGGCGCTTGGTTCGAGGCCAACGTTCAACGATGATCGAGTATAATCGATGAATCGTGACGATACACTGAATACACACACAACTGTTCACAACACACACACACCACAAACCACGCACACCAACACACAACCACCCGCTCGGCATGCACAGCAGCAATACACAACGCACGACGACGACACACCACACGTCACAACACGTACGGCAGTACGTTTAATCAACATTTAATTGTTATTACGCCAGCCGCTCGGGCGTAGAAAGCTACGAAGAGTCATACGTGGCTGGCCTCTATCAGCGAGGGTACGCTGTGACCGGCCAGCGTGCGTCTAGCGGCACAACACTACTAGTCGTAATCACACAGCATTTCTTTGCATCTGATGGCATAATCACAGGGTGTCGAGTGGGCTCTTCCAAAAGTCTTATAATACTTATTTGGCCAAAAATAGATAATAAAGGGCCTTATTCGTAACTTATTGGTGAAATCTTAGAAAAGAGTAGCTTAATAGTCCTTATTTTTTGCAATTTTATAAAACGTTCATCGACTTAGAGTAAGAATTGTTGTATATTATAATCGGAATAATTAATCTGCAGTGCAAGATGTGTTATAATAAAGTATATTAGTGTACTTAAAGTCCGTGATTCTAGTCATGAAATCGCAGTAAAAAAGTCTTATTTTTGGGCCTTCCAGAAAAGGGTCTTATAAGTCATTATTTCAAGCATGTTGTCCTTACTACTGATGAACCTCTGTAGCAGTTAGATTGCAAGTAGATGTACGTGTGGGACGATGGTCTACGTGTGAACTCTCCCTTCCCCTTACCAGTGGCACTCTGTGTCAAATACCGTGCGTTGCTTGACTCATGATAACATGGTTGCTTGCTTGTATACTACGCAAAACGCCAGCAAGCGGTTTTCAAACCCTGTATTTTCGGGCAGAGATTGAGATTCATTAACATTATCTAAGCACCATCCGTTTAATATGTTATTTTTTCGTCGGCTGTTATTAGTGGGCGTGCCGGTCGGTGTCGTTCTACGCCGTCAAGCATAATTACATTGGTACATATAGTTATATCTTGTGGTTATAAAATACGACACACTGCTAGACTGTAGACCCTTGAGCTGCTTGTGAGTCATTCTGCCTAAACACAGGTCTAGGAAATAATTCGAAAGTGAAAAATCAGAATTCAAAAATTAATATCTAGCGGCTTAATAAAGAAGACGTTTTGTGTCAGCTAGACGAAGTGTTGTGTACATGTACGCCTGTTGACAGTAAATGCAACACGAAATCCAGTTTGGCAAAAAGGTCGGGGAAAACCTTGAAAGCCAGTCGTGGTTTTCTATATAATGATTTACACAACGTATAGCGGATATATCCCAAATAAAAATTATCCAGTGCTGCTCGTAAAGTAGGCGGTCCCGGACGCAGGAAACGGGCTGGCATTTCTAACACTGGTATCTTCACTCTGCCAAAGCTCCACAAGTGTAAAAGTCGGCGCGATACTAGTGGCATTTTAGTTGTCTGTCCTCGTCGCATTCCAAAAAAGTGCCGTTACGCGTGTGTAGGCTGCCGGCAGAATGCATGTCTGTCTGTCCGTATGTATAAATCTGACCTTGTAGCGTTCTGCCAGAACTGGGTCGGCGCTATAATCACTAATTTCACGTCTCACACACTCAGCAGCATAGATCTGTCTGTGAGCAATGCCATCGTTGCTTGTCCACTTCCTTACTCGCCTTCCAGCGACAGGCAAAGTGAACAGGTGGTTTGCAGCACTGTTGTCGTCGTCGTGTTTAATATGGCATCATCTCCTCATTCGTGATCCGCCAGTGTTTTACGTCAACAGCATCTCGTTTCGTTTTCGGTCGCGAACGTCTATTGTGTTTGCACCTAAGGCTCGTGTAACTCAAGGCAGGTGTAAACTGTTTGCACATCGTCATCGCTCGATCTCTCACGGCTTCTAGATGAGATATAGCATGTCAGGGTTCTGCCCATGATGTTTTTAGTGCTGGGCGCATCCAATTGCAGAGTGGCGCCGTAGGCCGCGAGCCAATCTACGGAGGCTCCCGGGGGCATGCCCAACGCGGAAAAGTTTTGGATTTTTGGATGAGGTCTAAACTCATTTCCTGCATTCTGAGTAATAAAAAGCCCTATATCAAGCATCTTAAAAAAAAATCTTTAATAGTCAAAAATGTTAGGCCGGCGGGCCAACCGCGAGTGCCGGGCACAGCCCGTCACCGCCGCCCACCGTGGGCAGAACCCTGCATGTGTCTGTGGCTTCCTTTAACACTCGCGATAGAATGCACTCACTGCGACTGTTACGATGTAGCAATAATTACTTGTATAATGACATGCTATTCACACGCATTTCCGATATCGCGTTCGTAAATGCACGTTTTCCGACGATGAGTCCCATTGTTACACAGTGCGTCCCGGAAAAAATTTTGTTGCGGTAAAAACACGCTATAGACAGACGCTCGCGCCTCTATCCGTCGCCACGACGACCACAGAAGGCATCTCGCGTAAATCTGTCGTCGCTTTGCCACCCACCGGCTCTTCGTTTCGATTTCAGGTGACCGCAAGGGGGCGCCGGAGGTCGCTCGTCCGATGGCGAACGGCAGCGGGGATTCGGACGCGGCCAGCGAGGCGGGAAGCCTGTTCAGCCTCCAGTCGGACTTCCCCAACGAGGATGGGCTAGGTAAGATGCTGAGAGCTCGAACTCGCACGCGTCTGTGAGCGAGAGACGCGGTCGCCGTGGCGACACCCGGTAACCTGGAACGACGAGAGGGAGCGGTGCGGTTGCCATGGCGACACCCTGTACCCTGGAATGACGAAAGCGAGTGGTGGGGTTGCCATGGTTGCCCGTGTACCCACTACAGTTTACCTGGTATCCCTGAATGTTGCCCGATTCGTAAGTCACACCCGGGGTATGGTTACTGCTGCGTTTACCTGTAACCTTCGGAATTTTAATGGACGAAGGAGAGCCACGCACTACATACTATCAAGAGCCCATTAACCCCCGAGTGTACAACGCTGAAATAGGAAAACCATGGTGTCGTTTCAGCAAACTTAATAAAGTTTACCTACCTTATTTTGATACTTCTCTACCGGAATATTATGCAGGAGTCATAGCTAGCCAATATAAGATCAACCGCTTGTCTCTACGATGTTCCTATGCCGAGATATAAAGCGCTAAAAATCGAGTAATTCTAGGTAATCCTAGCGCCATATCACCCAGTAACACGCCTCTCGCACTTTTAGTGACTGCATAGATATATACAACACATGGTTAGCATGTTGTATATATCTATGCAGTCACTAAACGCGCGAGAGGCGTGTTACTGGGTGATATGGCGCTAGGATTACCTAGAATTACTCGATTTTTAGCGCTTTATATCTCGGCATAGGAACATCGTAGAGACAAGCGGTTGATCTTATATTGGCTAGCTATGACTCCTGCATAATATTCCGGTAGAGAAGTATCAAAATAAGGTAGGTAAACTTTATTAATTTTTCTGAAATGACACCATGGTTTTCCTATTTCAGCGTTGTACGCTCTGGGGGGTTAATGGGCTCTTGATACTATACACCTTTCCGCTTGCTGCCAGTGGGCGTACATCTAGCATGCTAGTGTAATACACGTAGAGTACGGTTAGCGATCAGCGTTGCCCAATCAATTACCGGAGAAGTTTGTAACCTTCGCAAATACGAGCGAGCGAGTGATGTGGGGGGGGGAAGCACTCGCCGCATGGGGTAATGCTGCAGAAATTGCCGATGTCTACTGTGGTGTCGTTTGCGTCGTGTATCAATGAAAGTGTTAAGCCATGCAGCATGCATCTCATTCATAGAAGGTCTTAGGTCCGCGCAGTTAGTAACGTGCACAGTGCGGCATCCGTTGTGAATTGCGCATGGCTGGATAGCTGGCAGATACCGTGTTGGATATCGCGTGTGGAAGTGAGTGTGTGCGAGGTTTCCTGTCTGTGTGTGTGTACAGGTAAAAATTCTGTTCGTTGGAGTTGTGTGTTAATCGCCGCTGTAGTGCGGCTTGTACAGCAACCGCTACAGTCTCCTGCAGAACAGAGATCTATATATCATACAGGTCTTACCCTTTGTCTTACCTGTATTGGTGATGTGTTCTGGGTTTCTTCTGAGGGAAAATTAGAAAAAGAAGGTAATGGCCAGTTTGGGAAAAAACGCGCATGATGGATTCAAATTTACAGGATGTATTGATATACTTATAGGTGTATAGATACAGGATATACTTATCAGTAAATGCAGGAACATTTTCACATCGGCGATGTTAAATATGACAACGGCGGTGCGCACACTGTGGCCCTGTTATGTATAACTATAAGAAACCCTTTAATATACCCCCTTGCTGTACATCTATGTGTTACATTTGCCCTACCCTGCCGTGCTGGTATGTCCAAGTTGTCTATGCAGTTGGTCTATAGATGCAGTCTTGTGAACGACTCTATAAACCCAGTTCTGATATTTTAATTTGTTTATTTCTACTATGTAAACAGTAGTGAAATCGATAAAAACTAGCTGGATCTGCTCAAAAGTTATTCTGGACATTCTAGTCCCATTCTGGTGATGCTATTTCCAGCACAGACCTACAGGTGTAACAGGACGAGTGGGAAGTACTAATGTAATAACAATGATGAGATGTAGAGGGCAGCAGCGGTGAGAAGGTCTATGTCCTCCAGGGTACTGCGGAACGTACCCTGGGTATGGTCCGGTATACCGGAACGTACCCTGGTACTATCTAATATGCCGTACCGTACCTCGCCTACTCCACTAACGAGTCTAGGGAGTCGCCTACGCCTACTTCCTAACCCTAACCCCAACCCTAACTTGCCAAAAATAAAATAAGGGCCCTTATTAGTACTTATTTTTGGTGAAATCTTAGAAAAGTACTTAATAGTCCTTATTTTTTGCCAATTTTATAAACTGTTCTCGACTTAGAGTAAGAATTGTTGTATATATAATACGGAATAATTAAATCTGCAGTGCAATTGTGTATATAAATATTATTAGTGTACTTTAATAGTCGGTGATCTATCAGAAATCGCGTAAAAAAGTCTTATTTTGGCCTCCAGAAAGGGTCTTATAAGTCATTATTTCAACATGTGTCTTACTACTATGAACCCTGTAGCAGTAGATGCAGTAGATGTACCGTGTGGGGGACGATGTCTAGTGTGAACTCTCCTTCCCCTTACCAGTGCACGTCTGTGTCAATACCCGTGCTTGACTCATGATAACATGGTCTGCTTGCTTGTATACCGCAAAACTGCAGCAGCGGTTTTCAACATGTATTTTCGGTGGCAGAGATTGAGATTCATTACATTATCTACACCACCGTTTAATAATGTTATTTTTTCGTCGGCGTTATTAGTGCCGTTGCCGTCGGTGTCGTTTCTCGCCGTCAGCATAATTACATTGGTATATTATTATATCTTGTGGTTATAAAATACGACACAATGCTAGGACTGTAGACCCTTGAGTCTGCTTGTGAGTCATTCTGCTAAACACAGTCATGGAAATAATTCTGAAAAGTGAAAAATAAATTCAAAAATAAATTCTAGCGGCTTAATAAAGAAGACGTTTGTGTTCAGCTAGACGATGTTGTGTATCATGTACCCTGTTGACAGTAAATGCGAACACTAAACCAGTTTTGGAAAAAGGTCGGGGAAAACCTTGAAGCCAGTCGTGTTTTTATAATATAATATTACAACGTATAGCGATATATCCAATAAAAATTATCCAGTCCTGCTCTAAAGTTAGCGGTCCCGGACCAGGAAACGGGCTGCCATTTCTAACACTGGTATACTTTCACTCTGCCAGCTCCACAATGTAAAAGTCGCTCGATACTAGTGCATTTTACTTGTCTGTCCCGTCGCATCCAAATAAATGCCGTTAGCGCGTGTGTAGCTTGCCGGCAGATGCATGTCTGTCTGTCCGTATGTATACTGACCTTGTAGCGTTCTGCCAGAACTGGGTCGCGCTATAATTCCACTAATTTCACGTCTTCACACGCAGCACATAGATCTGTCTGTGAGCATGCCATCGTTGCCTGTCCACTTCTACTCCTTCCAGCGACAGGCAGTGAACACGTGGTTTGCAGCACTGTTGTCGTCGTCGGTGTTTAATATGGCATCATCTCCTCATTTCATGTATCGCCTGTCGTTTACGTCAACTAGCATCTCGTTTCGTTTCGTCGCGACGTCTATCGTTTTGCACCTAGCTCGTGTAACTCAAGCAGGTGTAAACTGTTGCTACATCGTCATCGCTCGATCTCTCACGCTTCCTAGATGAGATATAGCATGTCAGGGTTCTGCCCATGATTTTTTAGTGCCGGGCGCATCCAATTGCAAGCGCCGTAGGCGCGAAGCCAATCTAGGAGGCTCCGGGGGCATGCCCAACCGGAAAATTTTTGATTTTGGATAGTCTGAAACTCAATTTCCTGCATTCTGAGTAATAAAAAGCCCATATATCAGACTTAAAAAAAAAAATCTTTTATATCAAAAATTAGTGCCGGGCGGCAACCGCGAGTGCCGGGCACACCCGCCCACCGCCGCCCACCGTGGGCAGAACCCTGCATGTGTCTGTGGCTTCCTTTAACACTCGCGATAGAATGCACTCACTGCGACTGTTACGATGTAGCAATAATTACTTGTATAATGACATGCTATTCACACGCATTTCCGATATCGCGTTCGTAAATGCACGTTTTCCGACGATGAGTCCCATTGTTACACAGTGCGTCCCGGAAAAAATTTTGTTGCGGTAAAAACACGCTATAGACAGACGCTCGCGCCTCTATCCGTCGCCACGACGACCACAGAAGGCATCTCGCGTAAATCTGTCGTCGCTTTGCCACCCACCGGCTCTTCGTTTCGATTTCAGGTGACCGCAAGGGGGCGCCGGAGGTCGCTCGTCCGATGGCGAACGGCAGCGGGGATTCGGACGCGGCCAGCGAGGCGGGAAGCCTGTTCAGCCTCCAGTCGGACTTCCCCAACGAGGATGGGCTAGGTAAGATGCTGAGAGCTCGAACTCGCACGCGTCTGCGAGCGAGAGACGCAGTCGCCGTGGCGACACCCGGTAACCTGGGACGACGAGAGGGAGCGGTGCGGTTGCCATGGCGACACCCTGTACCCTGGAATGACGAAAGCGAGTGGTGGGGTTGCCATGGTTGCCCGTGTACCCACTACAGTTTACCTGGTATCCCTGAATGTTGCCCGATTCGTAAGTCACACCCGGGGTATGGTTACTGCTGCGTTTACCTGTAACCTTCGGAATTTTAATGGACGAAGGAGAGCCACGCACTACATACTATCAAGAGCCCATTAACCCCCGAGTGTACAACGCTGAAATAGGAAAACCATGGTGTCGTTTCAGCAAACTTAATAAAGTTTACCTACCTTATTTTGATACTTCTCTACCGGAATATTATGCAGGAGTCATAGCTAGCCAATATAAGATCAACCGCTTGTCTCTACGATGTTCCTATGCCGAGATATAAAGCGCTAAAAATCGAGTAATTCTAGGTAATCCTAGCGCCATATCACCCAGTAACACGCCTCTCGCACTTTTAGTGACTGCATAGATATATACAACACATGGAAGCATGTTGTATATATCTATGCAGTCACTAAACGCGCGAGAGGCGTGTTACTGGGTGATATGGCGCTAGGATTACCTAGAATTACTCGATTTTTAGCGCTTTATATCTCGGCATAGGAACATCGTAGAGACAAGCGGTTGATCTTATATTGGCTAGCTATGACTCCTGCATAATATTCCGGTAGAGAAGTATCAAAATAAGGTAGGTAAACTTTATT